GTGCGTTTTTCGCATTGCATTGATGTAAAAAACGCATAAAAACTAATCTCGAAAGAAAATTAAAATAATAATTTTCTTTTTTTTCTCAAAAATTAAGATTCGAAAAAAAGCAAAAACAAGCAATGTAGTATAAAAGAGGAGAAAAAAATTTCGAAAAATTGGGAAAAAAACATCAAAAATCGAGATATCTCATAAATGGGAGGTACGAGATGACAGAAAAACTCACTCTAGCAAAATCATGCCCGTCTCACGCAATACGGCAGATTCCGAGGAGGTGCACAGTACCAGGAACTGGATCACTCCTGGCCAGTTTTGGCGTCCCGTCTCGCTATCTGAAGCAAAAACAGAAATGATAACACAAAAATGAAATTTTTCACTATATTTTCATCATAGGGCCGGCTCTGCTGCTACGCAGATGAATGCTACTGAGGCCACAGGCGGATCCAGGGTGATTTCCTGGAAGAAACGGGAAAGGGGGAGTGATTTGAGCGATCTTACGTCCTCCTCCCCTCCCCCTCCCCTCCTCCGTTCGTCATTACGCCAAAATCCCTACTCTCCCCTTCCTCCCCCGTTCATCGCTCCTACCGGAAGCGGCCGAAGGAGGGGGAATAGAAAGCGGGGGTCTTGGACCGGAAGGGAGAAGAGGGAAAACCAGGGATGCCGAAAAGAGTTTTTTTCACTTTTAGCACTGCTACCTATACCGCTGGAGGTCTCTCGCCCCCCTTCCTCCCCTCCCCCGTCCCCCTCCTACATCCGTCAATGATTGAGGCTGCAGCAGTGAACTTTCCCCGGATTTCTGGGATCGAGGTTGGATTTCTGTGGCCTAATGGTCAACCTGCTAGTGATGCTGACTTTCTTTTTCCTGTTTTCCTCCATCATTCTTTTATTCTCTTCTATTTTATACGAACATCAAAGAGCCAGAGCTTCTGCGGTTTCTCCTAGAAAGCTGGAAGATCCGTTCAATTGGTCAGCCCATCGATCACGACTGGGGTCATCACTAGGCCAAGTTACTAGTTGCGAAGCTGGATTAATTCGGATCCATGTATTCAAGTAAGGACCTGTTGCTGAAAATTTTCTGAAAAAAAAAAAATCCGAACAAAAAAAAAAGAGTGCGAACCGAGTGTGCAGCGTGCTACTTCGGCAATCACATCGGTCAAACGTTTTCGCAGCACCGCTGTCTGCTCTTCGGTGGTCGATTTGAGGATTTGTTCACAGAATTGCTGTTGATTCTCTTTTGTCCAGCTTGGCCATAGCTCATCCCACTTGCTCGCAATAATACGTCGCAACAGAACAAGACACAGCGATCGTACCTAGAAAACAATCACGAGCATAGAATACTACGGAATCCGATGACAAAGCAATCTGAAATTCTTATCACACCGAATCGCTGCACAAAGAATGCCCCACAGGCACTTCCCGGTACCATTACAGCTATTTTTTCAATGCTTTTAGAAATTTCCATCCAATTAATTTTCAAAAAAGCTATGATTTTTCGAAAAAATTTAGATCATCAGCAGTTGAGTACAAAAAAAAAGTGGCCTGCGCACCGGCTGCCGGTGCGCAGATGCGTTTTTTGCATAGTTCCCCGCAAATTTCTGTTGCTAACGGCACTGTTTTTTTGGCAGATGCTTCTAACTAAAAGAATTGGGACTAGCCTCCAGGACTGCCTGAAACTGTCCCCTTAAATTTGCAGCTTTTTAGCTTTTCCCGTGTTAGCAACTTACCCATAAAAAACTTTCACGGGGCCCGTACCCGGGAACCACGCATACCCAGGGCTAGGTTTGAACTAATTAAGGCCTACGTGGACCGGTGAACATCCCACTAAAATTAAACTCTTCTAGCTTGTCAGGTTTCCGCGCTAGCAACTTACCCGTAAAAAAGTTTCACGGGCTGGGAACACGTGGGTAAGGACGTGGAGGCCCGTCAGTGCATGTAGATTAATTTTCCAAAGTTTCAGCGTTGTAGCTTCTGTACGTCTCGAGATGAAAAACCGGTAAAGACGAACACACAGGCAGATACACACACACACACACACACAC